TTGTATTCCTCGTCCACACGGATATCATTGCTTCTATCATCATGCACATCATACCCAATAACATCCCCACTGTACTCTTCTTCTTCACCATGCCAAATCCACACATGATATTTAACCCTAAACCCACGACAAACTACATGATCTCTAATGATATCAACACTATTGACCACCTTCACATTATTACAATCAACACAAGGACAATAGAGGCACTCGAAACCCATTCTGCGCTAATAAGATGAAGCCGTCTCGCAGAACTCTTGAACCCCATTAAAGAATTCCAATGTATCACGTCTACCATACATCCATCCACGATCCCTCTCCATTAAGTAAATTGTCTCTAAAAATGGCAACATATTACGAATAATGTATAATTGCTACATCTATTATATATACAAATCAAATTTAAACACACAACATGCATATAACATTCATATACATACACAAATGAATATATGCTTCCAAAGGGTCCTTATCACTCCAACCTAACCCATCCTTGAACGTTTACTCTCACTAGTGAATGTATGTCAACTTTCCAATTTTAAGGAAAATCCGGCAGCATTTCCCCCCAGTTCTCCAAGTACACGACGTAGGTAATTACTTACCCACATATGTACCCAGAGAACATGGTGATCGAGGAAATGGTAAGCCAAGATGTTCCTTAAAATCGAAAAAAGGACATACATTCACCACCTAAGTGAGAGTAAACGTTCAAGAACAGTCCCAACCGGGGACTATTCAAGACTTTCTCCTAATGAGAAAGCCTTGAACGGGTATCTAGGCACATGATGATGCAAACATTTCATATATTTATTGTTGTATTTAGTTAGTCATTATATAATACACAAATCTAATAGCTAGCATGAAAAAACGTTTATTAAAACAATAATAGAGAGAAAGAAATATTTATAGCTTAGAGAAGTTTATAATTCATACCAACACAATGGATGTATTCTTTCTAACTTCCCACTTGAGCTAAATTAATGTGTAGTCTTCAAACTTAACTAGCTTCAACTTGAATTCACATATGAACCTATAAAAACGCAAAAAGAAAAAACAAAACAAAAAACAAATTAAAAGTTAGTAAGTACGTATGAGATATGGATAATAAATACAAATAGGGACATTAGTACATACTTGCATCACTAAAGCATGCATGGAGTGTCAAGTTGCCACAAACGACAAAAATTATTAAATAATGACCCGATACATTACAATTAGACAAACTATTAAAAGCAACAATATTACTCGTATTAACACAAGTCTCACATTTACCACTGAACTAACCACTTGCAAGAACACACTACACCACAACCATACACCAGTCCATCTCATCCCCCGCCTGCCCTGGCCCCCTTGGCCCCTCCCTGCTCTCCTACAATGAACTAGACCCAGCTTGCCCATCGATCCCATGATATTGATGGCAATGCCATTATCTACCAGCTTTATAAAATAATCAAAGGGGCACTCAAGATTTACCGACAGCCACATCTCACTACTGAATTAGACTCTACCACTCTTCCATATTTTATCACCCAAAGTTTAAAACAGCAATGAGGAACCGATTTTGCTCATCTTAATCATCACAAAAGCCTAGGCAGGAGACAAGTTCACCCCAATCACCAATATTACTAGCACTAAACAAATCTGTACACAAGCCTATGTATAAACTATCAGCAATACAAAACAATTAAATTGTATGTCATGAATAATGGGTTTCGAACAACTACTTGAAAGGGCACCATACACCTAATTGCTACATTGTAAAACCTAATTAATACATTGTAAAGCAAATCCACCAAAAAGTCGAAGGAATTCATCAATGGAGGGATATAAGTTAAACCTAATTGCTACTTACCTTAGGTTGAAGACAATGGAGGGAGTTTTTGATGGAGTACGACGCGAATAAGGTCTTCAATGGAGGTGAGAAAGCTCGCAACACTTAGCTTCAATGGAGGAACGACGAAGAGGGGAGCTGAGTTGAATGAAGCAGCGTGCTAACGAGAAGAGAGGAGGGGAAATTGTCTTCAATGGAGGCCACATCAATGGAGGAACAAAGAGGGGACCGAGTTGAATGAAGAAGGAAGAGGGAAAACGCAGTACAATTGAATGAATGAATGAATGAATGAAGACGTTGATGAACAGTGAGAGTAGGGAACAAAACCCGCAATTTTTTTTTAAAATTTGGCAACGGTTAACCGTTGCCAAACCTTTACCTTTTATTTTTATTTTATTATTTTTTTTAAAAACGCAATTGGCAACGGTCGTTGCCAATGTTAATCAAATTTTTTTAAAAAAAAAAAATTGGCAACGGTTAACCGTTGCCAACTCTGATATTTAAAATGGCGCTCAATTAACTTGGCAACGATTTTCATGAACCGTTGCCATAGGGGGGTTGCCTATTTCTTTATTTCTACTAGTGATTATTGTTGTTTGACCTGGATGGAAGAACAATGATGAATCGAAACCCCAATAATTTGACAAAGAGAAGAAATCTTGAAAATTGGAAGTGATGCTGCTACATACACTTCTTTGAGGAAAGAAGTCATAAGAAAATCCAGAGTTATTCATCTTTCACTGAACCTACATAATTCTAAGGTGCTAGGAGAAGAGGATTGTCAACGTATTTGTCTTTCAATCGCTCTTGATTTTCTTGTCAATGCTGGTGACTAAGCCAAAAGGTCACTTATTTCTAAGATAATGAACAAAGGAAAAGGGAAGTGTGACAGTGGAAATGAAATAAACGATGTAGACAAGGTGTTGCACGAGTTGGTTTCAAGAAAATCTGTAAATGACGAGAAATAGTATTTTTCATTGAAGAAATTGAAGGCGTTGGCGGATGTCATGGAAGGAATTGAAAGTAGTTTGGAAAATATTTGCATGCAGTTGTCTGAAAAAAAAAGTCAGTCTGATGAACATAGTCTCTTTCTAGCTTAGAAGATATTGTTATGTTCTTTTATAGTTTTATACCTTATCATACACTAAGTATATTGTAGAGCTGGTCATTTGCGGGTTTAGGCTGGACACGGGCCGGGCCTATGTTATATATGTGTCCAATGGGCTAGATAGATGGAAGCATGTCCCTGAAAACGGGCCTAAAAGCGCTACCCTTACCCGCCCTTACAAAAGGGCGGGTTGCCCATGGGCTAACGGGCTTGTTTACTCTTTTTTTATATTATTTTGTTTGCATATATCTATTTTATTTATGTATAACCTGCTAATTTACAATAGAAAAAAATTCACAACTTTAAAGTAATGCACCCTTCCTATTTCCTGCAAACTTCTGAAAGAAATGTATGACTTGAATGAAAAAAAAAAAAGAATAGTCATAAGTATTGTAGTACTTGTGCACTGCCATAATAAGATTCAACCTTGCAACAACAATCTAGAAATATAAATAGTTTTAAACTTTGGAAATTTTGTCAGAAAAAACCATTTATAACAACTTTTTTGCTGTGAAAAACCTTATAAAAAATTTTTGGCCACTAAAAACCTGATTATAAATTTTTTTTGTTCAAGACGACCTAAGTTCACTTTCCGGCATTGACTAGTCTTTTCCGACATTGACCTCCCATGTGCAGGTCACGTGACCTTAACTTTTACTAATCCCACCCCTTTCTTTCTAATCTCACCCCCTAATTTCCCTATTAACTCTGTCGTTTATAATCCTCCCCCCATTTTGTTCTTATTTCCCTCTTTTCTCCCTTTCAATTTCTCACTTCAATTGGAGATCATTCAAGAGAATCGAACTATTAGTTAATTGCAGTATTAGTGTTTGGCAACTGATTTCGACTAAGGATAGAGTGGTATTGTTCTTTAATTGTTTCCCAGTTGTCAGAGTGCAATCAGTCAAATATGGCTCAAAAATCTCACCGGGTACACAAACTATTCACATAAGTAGAGCGGGGAGACCATCCTAGCCACAAACCAACTCAATTCCAAGCAAATCGGTGAATGGGTTATCCAAAACTCTTTTCGCAAAGCACACATATATGATTGTTATCATAGAAGCATAGGCATGTAAAGGCATATCAACAACACTAGAAAAAAAAGAAACTAACCAAATACTAAAATAAAAATTTGGTGGAGCTAGGTTGGAAGCACGGGCGTGCCTTATTTCGTGGACTTCTTCTTCGTAGAATTTGCTCTTTTCACCTATTTAGATAGAGAAAATAATAAAAAATTAGAACACTAATAACCACATCTAGAATCAAAAATAAAAATAAAAATAGTAATAAAAGAAAAGTAACGGATTGAGAATGGGTTGCCTCTCATTTAGCGCTTGTTTATAAGGTCTTTAGCTCGATCGTAGTGATAGCTCAGCCTGGGTCACCGCACGAAGAAGGAACTCCGCAATGTTGCCCATGGGAATGATTGCCTCCAAGTGACTCCTTCATTTTATTGTTTACCTGCCTTATATTCGAACTCACCTTCATGTGGCCAAACGCATCATCGGGTGGAATTTTGTCCTTGCTTCTCTTGAAATTTCTATCAAATACATACTTATCAAACAACGGGTTAGTAGCATCGATTTTTAAGCAAGTACCACCATCAAATATAGAATTATGTTCATCAAAGAGCTTGAACATGACTTGTTTATCCTGGGCCCTAATGGTCACTTGTCCTTTAGGAACATCTATTAAAGCTTGACTTGTGGCGAGGAATGGACGACCAAATATAATCAGGATCTTACGGTCTTCTTTCATGTCCATAACAACAAAATCAACAGGAAAAACAAGTTCACCAACCTTAACTAATACATCTTCAACCACACCCTTAGGGAGTCTAGAGGTCTTATCAGCCAATTGAAGAGAAATAGGGGAAGGTTTAAGTCCTTGCAAGCCTAAACTCTCATATAATGAATAGGGCATTAAGTTAACACTAGCACCTATATCGCACAAAACCTTGTCGAAAAATTTTTCGTTTATCGTGTAGGGAATAGTGAAACTACCAAGATCATGCAGCTTAGGTGGTAGGTTATCATATAAGAGAGTAGGGCCTTTCTAATTTACTACTTCCGTATCCTCATGTTGATCTTTAATATTCTTCACAAAATTTGCAAATTGAGGCATTTGAATTAAAAGATCGGAAAAGGGAGTAGAAGCGTGTACCTTCTCAAGGGCTTCGCAATATTTCCCAAAATGTCTATCGAGTACGGCTTTTGACAACCTTTGCGGGAAAGGCATTGGTTCCTCATAAGCCGGTGGAGCAACATATTTGGGGCCTTGGACATCTTTGCCCCTTTCATCCTTCCTAGACTCCACACTGCACATCTTCTCACCTATTTGCCTCATAGATGGTTCATCTCTTCTCAAGAAAACTGCATTGCATTGTTCTTTCTGGACCTTTGCTTGGTCATGAAGAGTTGATAGGCGACTCACCTGTTGTGAAAGTTGACTTATTTGGGTTTCCATGAGCTTACTCTGGGCTTGCAATTGTTGGATGGAGTTACCTTGTTGTTGGATAGAGCTACCTTGTTGTTGGATGGCACTATTGGTTGCGGTAATAAAGCTCTCCATCATTAACTCAAGGCTTGATTTTTGGGGAAGTAGTTGCGTTGGTTGTTGGTTCATAGGTGGTCTTTGTTGGAAACCGAGCGGTGAGTTGCAGTTGTCGGGTAAGGATGGTAGTGATGGTAGATTCTGTTGTGCTTGGGTGTTCTTATAAGAGAAGTTGGGATGTTTCCAACCTTCGTTGTAAGAATTGGAGTAGGGATCAAAAGGTTGTTTGGGGTTCGAAGAGTAATAAGCATTGGCTTGTTCAATAGACATCTCACTCATGTTCTGCGGGCAATCCGGTGCGATGTGGCCCTGCACATTGCACAGTTGACAAACCTCCAGTGGGCTAGTAGAAGTTCCAGCTTGGAACTTATCAAACCTGCTTGTTAGTGCCTGCACAGAACTGGTTAACATAGTCAAAGCATCTACATCAAGTTTACCTCCCTTTTTCGCATTATGCCGACCTCCTGGATGGTAGTTATCGTTGGCCGCCATCTTCTCTATGAGCTCCTTTGCCTTAGTTGGGTTCTTTGTCAAGAGAGAACCCCCTGATGCAGCATCAATGTAGATTTGGAACTCATGGGTTAGGCCATTATAGAAGGTTTGAATCAACAGCCACTCTGGGATACCGTGATGAGGGCATTGTCTCTGTAAGCGCTTAAATCTGCTCCATGCTTCATAAAGGGACTCATCATCTAACTGGCTGAAGGTAGATAGTTCGTTTCTTAGCCTTGCAGTCTTTTCCTGTCCCAAGAACTTGACCAGGAAAGCTTTCACTAGCTTGTCCCATGTATCAAATGAGCCAGTGCCTTCATCTCTCAACCATTCTTTCGCCCTATCCCGTAGTGAAAAAGGGAAAAGGCGAAGTCTGATAGCATCATCTGTAACACCATTCATTTTCATAGTATCACATTTCTCCAAGAAACCATCAATATGACTTACTGGGCAATCATGTGGTGTGCGTGCAAATGAATCATTAGATATGAATTGAATGAACTGTGGTTTCAATTCGAAGTGCTGAGCAGTGACAGGTGGCCTGACAATTCTAGAGAGGAGTCCGGTTGTCGTATCAGGAATACCATACTCCAAAAGGGATTTCGTTCCTTGGTCTACCATGTTTCTCCTACGTCGATTTCTTGTTCTCCTTCTTCTTATAGTTGCCTCGATCTTAGAGTCAAATGGTTCAAGATCTTCTGAACCTGAGCGTCGTGTGGGCATGTAACAAGAAAACTAGGGAAAGAGTATCAAAAACACAAGAGAGAATAGTTGAAGCAACGAAATAAGCCTAGCAAAAACAAATCACAAATAATCTAATGAAACCGTTGGTCCCCGGCAACGGCGCCGAAATTTGACAGGCGGTCGGACACCTAGCAAAAATAACCTAACTAATCCTCCTAACTATGTAGTAGGGTAAGTGAAGGTCGATCCCATAGAGACTATGGTTCACCTGAATTATCTAGACTCAAGTTATTACTAAGCAAGAATCAACAATGGTGGAATAAACTAAAGCTAAAGTATGGATAACTAGAACAAATCGAACGAATATGAGAAATCAATAAACCAAAACATCCAAGATCAAGTATCACCACAATTACGATCGATGCAATTATATTTCTACCCCTAACATACGATTCCAATCAAATGTGGACAAGTAAACCCTAATCAATACCAAGGACTGCTCTCGAGTATCAATGGCTTCCCTAACATACAATCAAGCCTATTCTCATGGTATCATGCAAATTAGAGACATTAAACACCTTACTTTACGTCCCAATTATCAACCTAACTATTCTCATGTTGAATCTCAAACCCTAAATTGATCTACCCAATTTCGTTTAAACCAACTCTCGTTGTGATAGAAACAATGGAAAAATAACAATACTAATTATCTCTAATCTAGTATTGGCATAATCACAATCAATTTAGCATAAGAAATTACAAAAGTCATTAGAGAATTTAAAGAATTAATTCATGAATCAATCATAATTGGGCTACCCTAGATCTTGGAATAAAGAAACTACTCACTCATAATGAAATAAACAATAAAAAAAATAATTAAAGAAAACATAATTAAGAAATAAAAGATGAAAACAAAATACCGAATCTTGAATTAAATGGAGAATTAAAAGTAGAAATCTTGAACCTTGAATTACAAAAGCTAAAGCAAAATAATGGAGAGTACTAGGTTTTTAAAAATGTAAAACTAGACTAATAAAAACTTAATGATGAAATAATACAATACTTAGTGTATTTATACTCCTAGAAAGATAATAAAACGCTCAAAAGACTTGGCGCATAATTCTCCCAGGATGCACGGACGTGCCTACAAGAGGCACGGACGTGCCTCATATCGAGTGCTCAAAACCTTGGCTTCTGACTTCCAGGCATGGACGTGCCTGTGCTGGGCACGGACGTGCCTCCCCTGCTCCTTGATAGTGGCAGCAGGCACGGACGTGCCTAGGTGAGGCACGGACGTGCCTCTTGACGAGTGTAATTCTGCAGTCTTGGGCACGGACGTGCCCCTACTAGGCACAGACGTGCCTAATGTCGAAGCTCATAGCTGTGTAAACTAACTTGGAGGCATGTATGTGCCTCTGCTAGGCACGGACGTGCCTCACTCCAAAAGTCCCTAAATAGCTCGTTCTTCAATCAACAAGCCTCATGAAGGTTCGTGGGCCTCGGTTTAGCTTTGTGACTTCGTAAAATATCCAAATTAGCTCCGTTAATCCTGAAATACATCATAAACAACGAAACTACCCATAAAAGCATCGAATCATCGAAACTAAACCAAATTACACCAAAATAGACTAAAACACTCGACTAAGCTAATAAAACCAACTAAAAATAAGCTAACAAATATGCACAAAACACGACTTATCACCAGTTCATCAAATACGTAGGTCAATAAAAATTTAGGGTTTTTTTTTTACCCCTTTTGTAATTGGAGTGTGATTATGCACTAACAAGACCTAACTTTCTCAATTATGGAGCAACCATGGCTCCATTGAAGGATATCAAATGTGAATGTGGATTTCCTGTTGCGAAGAGGACATCTTGGACCCACGACAATCCTGGCAGGAAATTCATTGCTTGCAAGTTTTACAACCATGAAACTGGGCAGAGGGGTTACGACAAATTTGAGTGGGTTGATGAAGGTGTAATTGATTGGCAGAGAGATGTAACCAATATCCTGGTAGTAGAGAAGCACAGACTTTGTATTGATCTTAACATTATGAGAGCAAGGCTGACATGTATTGAGCATGAGAAGGAAAGATTAGCCAAAGAAGTGGAAAAGCTGAACAACAAACTTTGGAGAAGGAACAACGTAGCTGGGTTGTAAAATGGAGATGGGGTTAAGTATGGGTCTATAATTTGTGTGTGTGTTATTGTATCTGTTGTTGTGAGTTTCATATTTGTGAAACTCTTTGGCTAGAATTGGTGAGTTTTTCAGTAAGTTGGTTAGGTAGTTAGTAGTGCTAATTATTTGTACTTTTGAATGTACTTTGAATTATGAGAATATGAAATGAAAGTTGCATTAGAGTTCCTTAAATTGTGTGTGCAAATTGGTATGTTGAAAGTGAATTATAAGCAAAACTAACACAACTTAATATCATAGCAAAATAAGCACTACATTATAAGTGCTAAATAAAGCATTGCCTTAAAAACAAGGACTTAGTTCACAAAAGCACTTAGTTCAACCAAAAAACAAACTTAAACAAATTTATCTAGCAAAATACAGAGTAAGTGGCCTTCAAATCATTGGATTACTACTTTGAGTAGGTTGTTCTTGAGACTGTGTTAGGGATGGATATCTAGTTGCAGATGCTAAAGTCTGTGATGCTTGAACATACTGAGACTGAGTTGTACCTTTATTCTTCCTACATCCAGGCTTTGTTGCAACTGACTTTTTCTGTCTTTGAGCACCATCAGAAGCACCACCCTTCCCCTTTTAGTTGCAGCACTAGCATCACCCTTCCCCTTCTTTGAAGCAGCAGTAGTTGACATACCCCTCCCCTTTCTTTGTGTGCCATCAGAAGCAACAGTAGGAGCTCTTGGTTGAGGAGTTGTGATAACAGCAGCAATAGTTGGAGTAATGGCTGCTGTAATCTCAATTGGTGCAGCTTGAGAACCTGTCTCTTCAGGAAATGCATCAGCATTCCTACCCCTTCCCTTAGGAAATTTTTGCATAATTGAGTTGAAGCATTTGGTCTTGTAATGACCAAGACCACCACATCTTCCATAACTATTTTGCTTCTTTGCCCTTTTAACACTTTTTATTCTTGATCATCACCTGGTTCCTTAACTCTCTTCTTCTTGCTAGGCCTACCAGGTATAACTCTATGTGGAGGGGGCAATGGTTTTGGGTAAGGTGGCAATTCCCATTGGGTCTGTCCAGGCATGGATCTAAAGGCATAGGCATAGGTTTTGGCATAGGTTTGAACATGGTATGCAGGGTGTATGTAGTCTTCATAGTTCAACCTTCTCAGTTGGATGCATGCTAATGCATGCCAACAAGGTATACCCGTAAGAGTCCACCTGACATGTTCTATTCTCTAAATTCACCACAAAAGTGTCATCTTCATGATCAACCTCAAATTCATTTAGGTTAGCTTGATTTATTCTCATAGCACTTGCTTCTTTTAGACCCCTATGCACCATTTTCACTACACTAGGTATTATGACACCCTCAAAATGTTTTAAGCCTCCCTTTACCACAACACCTTTACATAACGTACCTCCTAATCCATTCCATTAATTGAAGAATAGGTTTTGATCTAACCTCTCTTAATACATTGTTAAAACTCTCACAACAATTATTAAGGAGCATACCAGATTTACTTGGAGAAAAAAAAAAAGTGTTGTGCCGGGATTTCAGTTAAGTACTTGAAGGCATCCTTTTTCGATTCCTTGATTGCTGCCATATGTGTGTTGAAATGATGTTGCATTCAATAAGCATACTTAGTTATGTAGGTACTCAAGCACTAAAATTAGCAAATACAGAACATATGTGTATAAAGGTATATAAATTGCAATTGCATACCGTTGTTGATGACCTTGCAGCCTTCTAGAAATGTTATTTGTACACCACCTGGAAATTTGCTCTTAAAGTTGGTCCAAATGTGTCTGCAACAGTATCTTGTGTTTGGATTGGGCATAGTTGTCTCGAATGCATCAATCAAACCCTGAAATTGATATCAAGTAAATATACTGAACATAAATTTGCAAGCCATGAAATACAAATCAACTCAACAACAACTGAATAGAAACTACCTTTTGCCTATCTGACATGTAAGTCAAATCCTCTTTCTCAAGTACCCATGTAATTGAATCTGTAATTCAACCAAGGTCTTCTTTCAACAAACCCAAGAACCAGGTTCAAGTCTTTGAGTTTTTTGTCTCCACTACTGCCCAGGAAACAGGAGAGATGTTATGGTTTCCATCTTTTCCTACTACTGTCAATAAGATACCAGGGTAGGGTCCTCTTAAAAGAGCTCCGTCTACACCTAGGATAGGTTTGCACCCTGCCATGAAACCTTCCTTGCATGCCTGTAAGCATATGTACAACCTCTAAAAAGAGGTGGTGGATTCTCAATCCCTGCACCTTCACCTTTGCTGTAGATCCCGGGTTATACTTTATGATTGTTGCTGCATAATCCAAATCCAGATTTGTTTGAGACTGTATCACGTTAAATGGTACATGGCCCTTGCGGTAATGCAAATCCAAATTGATCATGCATGGTAGATAAGAAATGCAGAAAAAATTTCCCAAAATCATTTAATCAAGAGACTACTATCGACAGTAATGGTCAGCCCATATACAGAAGAAAGGAGAACGGGAGGTAACTACACATGATTGGTTTTTATTTTTATTTAAAGCGATAAGATTTATACATGCTTATATACCAACATACATGACTGATGCTTATACAAATACAAATTAATGAAAGCAGGTTTATAAAAAAAAAGTGATCATCTCATGGACAACCGGTCAATAGTGCCCTACAATGCAGGACTGTTAATGATGTTTAATGCACATATCAATGTAGAATGGTGCAACACTGCAAGAGCAATCAAGTACCTTTTCAAGTATGTGTGTAAAGGACCAGATAGGACAACCATGATCATAATTGATGACCAACAAGATGAGATAAAAACATACCTTGACTGTAGATACATCTCAGCATGTGAAGCTGCATGGAGAATTTTCGAGTTCGAAATTCAAGAAAGAACTCCAGCGGTAATGCGCCTGCCTGTAGACCTAGAAGGAGAACAAGCAATAGTGATAAGAGACAGCAATAGTTTGAGCTTTGTGATAAATAAAGAAGACATTACTGAGACAATGTTGACAGAATGGATGAAAACCAATGACATCGATGAAAAATCAAGGACGTTAACATATGCAGAGTTTCCCACAGAATTTATATGGACAACCACTGAACAAATCGATGAAATTGGGAATAAAATAAAGAAAAAGTCGTGGGCAAGGCGGCAGGAACGTAAATGCATCGGTAGAATTACATATGTTCATCCTACTGCAGGGGAGAGGTACTATCTTCGCCTACTACTCAACATTGTTAAGGGCCCTAAAACCTTTGCGGAAATTAGGAAGATTGATGGACAAGTGTATCCTACATACAAGGAAGCTTGCTACGTTCTGGGCCTACTTAACAACGACAAAGAGTGGCATGATGCTATACAAGAAGCAAATCAGTGGGCAATGCCAGCGCAATTGAGGGAACTTTTCGTCACCCTAATATTGTTCTGCGAAGTAACTGATATATCAACACTATGGGAATGCAGCTTCAACGCCCTCTCAAAAGACATACAGCGGAAAAAGAAAAGGTTGTTCAAACATCCAGAACTCATACTTACAGAGGATCAGATAAAGACAAACACACTACTTGAGATTGATAAGATTCTGGTGAAATTCGGAAAGTGCTTGGCAGATTTCAAAGACCTACCACAACCTGATTTTACAGAAGCAGAAACTATGGAAAACAAGCTTATTGCAGAAGAAAGACTTTACGACATCAAACAACTCCAAGAAGATTGGTCCAAAAGAATAAAGAACTTGAATAAAGAGCAGTTAGATGTTTATGCCAAAGTGGTTCAAGCAGTTAAACAGGACACAAGGGAGATATTTTTCTTATACGGCCATGGAGGGACTGGAAAGACATATTTATACTGCACCATCACAGCAAGGCTTCGGGCAGATCAAAAAGTAGTTTTGAATGTAGCATCATCAGGTAACACAGTATTAGTTCAATTATTTTATAAGCAAATTACATCCCCTCGCTACATACATTTAACTAAGTTTTAAAAACACAAGTATTTCAAAAAAATAAATAAATAAAAAATAAATAAAACTAACATATTTGGAATGACATATTAGGTATTTTGGCATTTCTTCTCCCAGGAGAAGGACAGCTCACAGTCGATTTGAGATAACGATAGTCCTACTAGAAAACTCAACATGTAACATCAAACGCAACACCCAGTTAGCAGAACTCCTCCAACATACATCATTGATTATTTGGGATGAAGCACCAATGGACCACAGATACACATTTGAAGCACTTGATCGCACCATGAGAGATATAGTAGCACACAAAAAACCAGGGACAGAAGCTAAGCTGTTTGGAGGAAAGGTTGTATTACTGGGAGGAGACTTTTGCCAAGTACTACCAATAGTCACAAAGGAGGCAGACAAGATATCGTTCAGGCATCAATAAACAGATCCTACATATGGAATGCGTGCAACGTGTTCATTCGTAAGCAAAGCATGAGGATAGGAGAAGCGGAAGCCAAGACCGAGAGCTACAATAAAAACAAACGCTTCAACGAGTGGCTTTTGGCTATGGGTGATGGAAGACTTGAAACAAAATCTGAGGACCACGAAGTTGAAGGGACTTGGATTGAAATACCAAATGAGTATTTGGCTGACGTTGGGGTATCTGAACTCAATAAGGTAGTGGAAACAACTCACCCAGATTTTGAGCTAAGAAGATCTGACGACAACTATTTAAAAGAAAGGGCTATACCCACTCCCTTAAATGAGACCACAGACACCATAAACGAGTACATGATGAGCCTCTTGCCCATAGAAGAAAGGACCTACAAAAGTTGTGATGAAGTATGCTTATCTTCTACTGAATGTGACCAACAATTCTCAGAATACCTAACTGAATATCTAAACAGCTTAAAATTGCCAAGATTGCCGCACCACGAGCTTAAATTGAAGGTAGGAATGCCGGTCATGCTACTTCGAAATATAAACCCCCCACAAGGGTTGTTTAAGGGTACTAGACTGGTTATAACCCACCTAGGGAAGTTTGTAATTGAAGGAAGGATCATAACGGGGTCAAAACAGGGAAACAAATAACTAATTCCTAGAATTGTGATGACATCTACGGACCCCAAAATACCTTTCATCTTAAAAAGAAGACAATACCCATTAAAGCCTTGCTATGCCATGACAATAAAGAAGTGCCAGGGCCAATCACTCTCATATGTTGGTGTTTACTTGCCAAAGCCCATGTTTAGTCATGGACAACTCTATGTGGCAGCATCAAGAACAACTTCCCCGAGGGTCTAAAGTTCTTCATTGATGATTTAGTTCCCCCGTGTTTAGTCATGGACAACTCTATGTGGCAGCATACAAAAGGCACACAAGAAACATTGTCTACAAGGAAGTATTCTCAAACTTGCCGAGCATGGTAAAGGAAAGCCTCTAAAATCTTTTAAACACATTTGACGTATCATAAGTTTTGTGATTTAGTTCCAACGACTGTTATTTTATTTATTTATTTATTTAGTTTTGTTATAGAATTTTCCAAAACTTTTAACTTTTTACAATGGCGGCAAAAAGTTAAAACCTAAACATTAAGGATCCTCCATGATAAAATATACTCTAATAGAGAGATACAAACCTAATTGCAAATAAACGCAAGGATTTATCTTACAAAGCTTACACTGAGGAATAACGACGGCCCTTTAAAGTGACTGACAATGACCTTCATCAAATCAAGGCTTTCACCTCTAACTTCATTTTTGTACTCTACTGATGGAACCTATGACAATAATTATATTTCAAATTGGAAATTAGACAAAAATAGGATAATAATCTTGACATTGACATATCAGGGATGTCACACATTAGATTGTTGCTTGAAAAAATAGGAGAATAATTCCTTTAGATGAAGTACTTCATGCATGTAACAAAATTAACATCTTTTTCTAAGACAATGAATTTCAATACTTAAACACATAGTACCAATAAAACTAATAATAAAATCTTAATTTTCCCACAAAAATAAAATAAAAACTAATAATGTTAGAAAAATATTTGAAGAACAAGAAGGAACCTGATGAACAGTTCAAATATATGAAACATTAAAGTAATTACATAATATTTAGCCTAAATAAAAATAAAATAAATTTTTTTTAAAAAAAAAAAGAACAGATGCAAACATATCAAAAAAATAAAATGAACAGATTAAACAAAAAATAAAATAAAATAAAATAAAAAAATAAATCGAACTTAAGAAAACGACAGTAGCACCAAGCGCCTTCAATTTCTCAATATAAAATAACCTCACCTTCTTCTTTAGAAACCCCTTTCCTCACAAATGCAGGTGTTTTCTCAACCAAATCTTTTGCCTCCTTCAACCACAATTTAATCACCTTTAACTTCGCCCCTGCATCAAACTACTCTAATCTCACATCAAACATCGCCTTCTCCTTGGTCTGAAATTAGACAAAAATAGGATAACAACCGACAAGTCCAACGGGATTGAGGGAAAAAAGCTCAATTGCGATTCGATCTAATTTTTGGGTTTTTGATTCAGTTGATGTAATAAGAGAGTGAATTGAAAGAGAAATTGATGAAATTAAGCTATTTACTGAACCCATTTTTCAAATATTCAATTTTGGAAATGGAGGATAGCGTGATTGATTTCTTGGTTTGATTTGATTCGGTATAGGAAAAATGAAACAGCTCAAGATGGAAAATGTAAGACCACACCACTATCAGCACTGAGGAGTAAACAAACCCCTCAATCTCTCTCTATCCACTTTCTCACTTTTTCCATCCAATTCCTCTCATGAGAGGTTTTTTTTTACTACACCAATGCTTAAAAAAAAAAAATCTCCTCATCACTTTATCCTCCTCTATATATTATACCCCACCATAATACACATCACCTTTTTTTTTTCTCTTTTTTTTTTAATTATACTACATATGTAATTTTTCAATACAATTAAAAATATATAATATTTTATTTTTATAATTACGTTTTAATTATACTGTAATAATTATTAATAATTTTTTATTTATTTTTTGTAAATTTTTTTATTAATTTTTTATTTATTCAATTATTTACGGTTAAAATTTCTGAATATACCATTTACAATGTAATTTTTTATTTAACGTTTTAATTAGAATATAATAACTAAAGCAAATAATAGCAATTATAGATTCTACGAAAGATGTTTTATTAACTTAAACGATTAATTAGAAGCGCATTTTTGAAATGAACACATAAACGGCAATACAAATACATTGGATAATAAAAAACAGTACGGTTACGAACTTAAAAAAAGCGGTTTGACCTAAACTAATACACGAACACAAGTATTAAAACCTAAAAACGATACGATTACAAACTACAAATTTGCTTATTCGGTCGTGTTATGACGAAAGTTCTGCCATATGTGTTCTACTAAATCTTGTTTGAGAGACGAATGAATTTCTCTATCACGAAGGGCAATCCTCCTTTGAAAGTACGCGTTGAAATCAATGTTGGGTGGCCGCCCGACGTTGAATTCAAATGGCTCGTTGTTATTCACTGTGGCACTTGTGCTCGGTCCTGGCCGTGCTGCTGTACATTATGGTCGATCTTCTTCGTAGTATCGTCTCAAAACATCTGCACGTGTGTAGTTGTATCGTTCATCCTCGACGATCATGTTGTGCATTATTATACAGGCTTTCATAATGTCATAAAGAATATCTTCGTCGTATGCAAGTGCTGGCTGTCGTAGTATAGCAAACATGGCTTGTAAAACTCCGAAAGCCCGTTCAACGCCTTTCCGAACTGCTGCTTGTTGATCAGCAAACAACTTGTCTTTTTGAACTTGAGGATGTGTTATACCTTTTATAAAAGTTGGCCATCTCGGGTAAATCCCATCTGCCAAGTAGTAGGCCAACTCATATTGATGTCCGTTTACCCAAAAAATTATTGGTGGTGCACGACCTTGTAAAACATCATCAAACACCGGTGAACGGTAAAGGACATTAAGATCATTACATGAGACAGACATTCCAAAGAACGCATGCGAAATCCATAAATCCTGATCAGCAACGGCTTCAAGAATGAGGGTTGCAGTTTTGCTACGACCAGCATATTGTGCTTTCCAAGCCGTAGGCAATTCTTCCACTCCCAATGCATGCAATCTATACTACCAATCATGCCTGGAAACCCACACAATTCATTTTGGTGAAGGATTCTCCTTAGATCTTCATTTGTAGGTTGACAAGCGTTAAATCAGTCGCTACAATCTAACTCTTAATCAAACAATACTTATACGAACACCCTATAACCATTATAATGGCAAATAAAGGTTTGGTCCACGAAGAACGGGAGTAACTGCTAATCAATCCTAAAACCTAAGCTAGTTCGAAATCAATGGAAGATGGTGTTCTAAAATACTACTAATAAGATGAAATAATCAATAAACTAAGACACTAGGGAGAACGGGAATCCGCCTAACCATTGGTAGTTAAGCAATAAGGAATCATAGAGACAAACTGGATATGCAAAGACTATAAGTCTGATCAATATCATGTGATAGGAAGACAACGGGCAATACTAAGTTTGGATTTCTCATGCACTTAACATTACTCGATACATAATCAAACCACATTCAATAATGAAATACTCAATTCACAATCTCTTGTTCAAATCAAGAATATCATGCAATCAAATTCAAGATTCTAGGTTAGCTACTCTTATTATAATGAATTAACATGCAATCGCATATAATCAATTTAATCACAATCTGTTTATCAAAATCAACCCTCAATTACATAGATTACCTAGGCCGGGTTTCATCCCGAAACCCTAGCTAGGAGACTACTCACCTATATTCATAATAAAAGAAATAATGAATTCCAAAAGCATAATAGATATAAACATGAATTCTGATTAAGGAATAATAAAGCTTGATTAATAAACAAGAATGAATAATACCAATTGTATTGATGCGAATCAATGACAAAGTTTGGAACTTTGATATCCGATGTCAATGAATAATACAAAGAATCCCAACGAATCTTGCTTCGAATCAATCCGAAAAACTACGATTAACTAGATCAAATCTATGGAATCTCAACTACGGAAGTGCTCTCTATCTCTCTACAAAGTCTCTCTGAAAAATACGTCTCTAATCTATCCCAAAATCTGTCTCACTTAACCCTTACAATCGGGCTATATATATGTGTTTTAAATCGGAAAGTAAATCGCAGGCTGCCCTTCGTAAATCAGCACGGCCGTGCAAACATGGCAGTAGCTGATCCGCAATATCTTCAATTTTGGCACGGCCGTCCTGAATTTGGCACGGCCGTGCTAATGCCTGGCACGGCCGTGCTGAACCTGGAACGGCCGTGCTAATGCCTGGCACGACTGTGCTGAATCTGGCACGGCCGTGCTGATGCATGGAAAATGGCACGGCCGTGCAAGCATAGGCAGGAAGGTTGCAGGCACTTTGGTCTTCATAAAACAGTCACAACTTCGTATCCAGAGCTCCGTTTGAGGCATGCAATATATCGTTGGAAAGCTCTTCAATTATAATTTCCAATGCAATTTGAATCACTCCATTATCATTTGTATATCAAAAGTTATGAGCAAAATAGTGAACAGGTGTCATATTTGTGAACTGTTGTGCCTTGCCTGCTACTTAACTTGCCTTTCAAGGCCTTGAGAACCGCAGCAAAGCCTTAACTTGGTGGACTAGGATCAATAATAGCCTGATTACGCACCAATGGTTCGGGACTCGACATAACTTGGCCAACTATACCTGTTAACACACCAAAAACAGACCGAAGCCCGTGAAGCACGTAATATGAAGGAAACGAGTGTAACAAGGCAATAAACGACCAAAATGGGCCTAAATACATCCAAAATCACCCATTTATATCCCTTAAAGCGCGCCCTAATGTGTGCTTGTTAAAAACCCCCCAAGCTACACTTTTGCTAGTCCTCGAGCAAAATTAAGGGATAAACACACACACAAGATCAAATAAACTATTGTCATTACATATAAGTCAAGTTTAAGCACAGAATAAAGTCAACGGATCCTACTTAGAACAACCATGCATGGAATAAA